TAAAATTTTGAATCAAGGTATCGAGATTAGTACATTCCCCATAAAAAGGATCGAAAAGTAAAGAAAGTTTGGAAAGGAAAAAAAAAAAAAAGTTAATAACTTTATATTATTAATGTTTGTGTCTAAATTAATTCTACTTTACTTGTACCACTTGATATATGTGTGGCCTTAGCGCACATCTTTATTTCTTCAATAATGGACCTTAGTGGAACATTTTTTATTTTTTTTATTTTTTGAGAGAAAATTAGGAAAATAAAAGAATGTTTGCCCTCTTGGGGTTTTCTTTATTATTTATTCACCATTAAAAATAATATTTTGTGGAAATTTGCATGCATGGAAAATCAACTTTTATATTATTTTAAATATGTCAATGCCAAGATCTATCATATCATTATCCATCCATTAATGGCAGTGAATTATAAATATTTATATATTTAAAATGTATGATGATAATATCGACATTATTAATGTTAACATTAATGGATAAAAAATATTAATTAGTAAATATTTGTAATTGTCGGTCATAGTTTAATTTAAGAGATTCAATCCTTATATGGGTATAATAAATAAATAAATTAACGTTCGAAAATGGAACTTATACAGTATAAATAAATTTTAAAAAAATTTAATTTAACTGTTAGTTAATACCACGAAAATAAACTGTATCAGAGAGTAAAGCAATTGGTTAATGGAATTTGGACGACATGGTATAGATAGTGACTTTCAATTCTTTTAAGTTTTTCTTAATCATCATATATTCACGATCGTTTTTTTTCTAATGTGGTTTTGGTTCATTCATGTACCATTCCTTTACTTGGATGTCACATGCCATTAGCTTTCCTTTGATTTGCCTCCAAATCACATCTTTTTATACCATTTGTAACAACCCATGCCCTTCAAATTCAACACTTGATGACCCTGACATTCTCCTGTAACATAGTCATGTTACTTACTTCTCGTTTTTTAAGAGCGAAAACTACGTGTAATTAAGTCATCTAAAATTAAAATATACCTTGTTGGTATAAATAGTAACTTTCAATTATTTTAAATATTTCTTAATTATCCTATCATTTGATCACTCTCATTTGAATGTGGTCTCAATTCATTCATGTAACTCTCATTTACTTAATGTCTCGTTAATAATTATCAAAAGACCAAAATAGCCCATAAAAATAAAAAAAAATTGATAAATAAAAGAGTGGTTGAAAAATATCTAACCCATCGAATATCTAAAAGGAAATTTAACTTTAAGAAGCTACCGAATTAAAAAAAAAGAAAATAATAATAATCATAAATATACATTAATTATGAAAACTAGAAAAGTCATACATTTTAGAGTGAAATAAATAGTAATTATCAAGAATATTTAATTATAATAACTCAAATTTTAGGCATCACATAAACAAAAACACTATATTTAAAATTTAATAAATAAACTAGACCAACATTATTTTTATGTTTTTTTTTTTCTGTGTCTATTTTTGAAAAACGGAGCCTTATAAAAGTGGCAATACGGTCCCATTACGCCGTTACCGTTATATTTAAATATTTTCCATGATTTGAAAATTAAGTGGGCCTGTTGGGCTCCACACATTTGAATTTGGGCTGATTATTAGTCTCCAATGAACTGTCTCCATTTCTGGAAAATAAACGAGATTTTCCTTCTACCTTCGATCTTCGTATTGGCCGGCGCCATTGTAGAGATCTGAAAAGTCCATCTCGGAGGTCGGAATCTATGGCCGATCACCACCACCATCACAGGCCTCACCGTCTCTCAATTCCACCGCGCGCCGTTGGTGCCGCCTCCTCTCGACCTTCTTACCCTCTCTTTCCGTATTCGTCTTCAACCCCAACTCCCACTCCCTCCAAGAGCCGCCTCAATTCCAAATCCTCGAACAAAAGCTCAATTTCATTCCTGTTTTTGCTTCTGTTTTCGCTCCGTTCACTCTATTCGCTCCTCCCATTCCTCCGCTCTTCCCCTTCTTTCTCTCTTTTCCCTTTTTCTTTCTTGGTTTCTCTCTTGTCCTTTCTTCTTACTCTCGTTTTCTCTCTTTTTACCGATTCTTCTTCCGCCTCCAACTTCCATTTTCACAGTTCCAACCAGAATCGAGACGTTTTCTTTTTCTCTTCGATTTCGCAGTCGCAGATTAAGACTTTGGTTGCTAAGTCTATTCTGCTCGCGGTTGTTTTCCTTCTTCGATTTCAAGCGCTGTTGTATTGTGGAACAGCGGCAATGATTCTAGCTGAACTGACCGGGAATGTGGTGGCTCGATTCTTGGCCGAGGAGCGGAATCAGGCGACTATGGGTGATCGTACTCGAAGTCGGTCTTCTGAGGTTCGCGGGTTTTTGTCCTTATTCTTTGGTTTGTTTCTGTTGTCTATTAGTTGGGACCGAATTGCTTGCTTCCCTTTTGCAACTTCTTTCATTGATAAATACGGATTTTCTGTGCTTCCTAGAGAGAATTGTATGAGAATTTGGCCCATGTTACTTCCTTTTCTTTCTGGATTCTTGGGTTGTTACGAGCGGATTTCCACGAATTGGGGGACTGTTAGACAATTGGGTCAGAAACGAGTTAGATTAGTTTCACTGTTCTTCACGACGGTCATCCTTTTTGTTCCTGCTGTAATTAGTATGCTCGTGTTTGAAGCGGAGGGGAAGAGTGTTTCCTTAGGAAATCTGGCATGGCCTCTTGCAAACACTGTAGTTTTTGGGGTTCTTTTGAATGAAAATTACGGTGATGATAAATTAGTTAGTTCAAAAGATTTCAGGAGTGAATTTCTTGTCACTTTTGTTTGTACTGTTATTCTAGAGTTACTGTATTTTCCTGATCTCTCTCTATGGGGATTGTTATTATGTGGATTACTGCTGTGTGTGGCTGTAAGAGAGTTAGATCCTGTTTACCTGAATTATCTTGAGCTTGGGATCGAGTCGTCGGAGTCCATTACCACGACGATCATGAGACCTATTCATCACATTTTGACCGAGCGGAAGTCTCGAAAGATTGCACTTTTCCTTTTAATCAACACTGGCTATATGGTTGTTGAATTTGTTGCTGGTTTTATGAGCAATAGTCTTGGGCTGATATCAGATGCATGTCATATGTTGTTTGATTGTGCTGCTTTGGCTATTGGACTGTATGCTTCATATATTTCTCGCTTGCCTGCGAACAATCAATTCAACTACGGGCGAGGGCGATTTGAGATTCTTTCAGGATATGCTAATGCTGTTTTCCTGGTATTGGTCGGGGCGCTCATTGTATTGGAGTCGTTTGAGCGAATTTTGGATCCACAGGAGATATCTACAAACAGCTTATTAACAGTTTCTATTGGAGGGCTAGTTGTAAATGTGGTTGGTTTGATATTCTTTCATGAAGAGCATCATCATGCCCACGGTGGATCGGGATCTTGCTCGCATTCGCACTCTCATTCTCATTCTCATGCGAGCTCCCACTTGTTTGCAGACTCTCATGACAAGCATGAATCTCATGAAAGTTCAGTTTCTGTCCATACTGGCCATCATGAGAACAATCAGGTTGACGTTTGCAGCGAGATTCACCTCAGTAACCACCATGACAATCACCATCATCACGATCACTCTGACCATTGTGACCACAACCATGATCACGACCATCACCATCATCTTGACGGATCTTGCAAGCAAGACCACCATGGCCATGCTCATGCTGAATCTGATGTGCCCAAAATGGTTTCTCACACTGTTTCAGAAAGTTCACATAGCCACCCTTCAAAACAGCCTGTTGAGGGGACAGTCCGACAGAAGCACCACCATCACCACATTGACCACAACATGGAAGGGATATTTCTACATGTCTTGGCCGATACCATGGGGAGTGTCGGTGTCGTTATATCGACCCTTTTGATCAAATACAAGGGATGGCTAGTTGCCGATCCCGCCTGTTCCATATTTATTTCTATAATGATCATTTCTTCAGTCATTCCATTACTTAGAAACTCTGCAGAAATCTTGCTTCAAAGAGTTCCCAGGGCACATGAGCAGGATCTGAAAGAAGCTGTGAATGATATTATGGCGACCTGTGGTGTCCAAGGCATTCAGAACCTGCACGTATGGAGTTTCACTAACACCGACGTCGTGGGAACACTCCGTCTTCATGTCTCAACAGAAACCGACAAGCCTTCTATAAAGGCAAAGGTTGAACACATACTGCATGATGCTGGAATCAAGGACTTGACATTGCAGCTGGAATATAATCAACAATGATCTTGATGAGCTTCTTTTTAACATTGTTTTCATGACTCACTGTGATTATTGGATGATTGGGTTAATCTTCATATTCCTAATCTACAATGTCAGCTGATAGACTCCTTTTAATCGATGCAATGCGTCGGGAGTTAAGTAAATTATCCTTATACATTCCTCTTCTAGCTCTGCAAATGCAATGTGAAGAATCTGAATTGATTCTTGTCAAGCTCAGGGAGGAGTTTATAGTTCACGTTAGGCTTGAATCAGCCTACATATTTCCATTGTTGCATCACAGAGAGTGATAGTTCTGTGTTGAATCCTTGTTCTACATTCTTATATACTGACTCAAATGGTAGATTAGTGTCAATGTAATTCATTTATTTTGCTGGATGTAAAGAATGAATTCGAACTGATCTTAATTACCTTTCACTCTATCGAAATTCGCTCTTCATCGTCTCTCCGTTTATATGCATAGCTTGTTTGGACCGACTTTTCTAATGCTTAAAGAATGCATTAGATTCTACAGTTTACTGAATGTGTTTATTGATCTTTAGTTCAAGATAATTCATATCACTATCACCACTTGAGTCAGTATATAAGAATGTGTCTATATACCCTAAGGTCTTTATTGATTGAGTTTTTCAACTTAATCATGATATCATAATATAGTCTTTATTTGTTTAGTTTTTCAACTTTATCAAAGGCATGAACAGCTAAAATATGCATAAAAGCTCGTGAAAAAATCTTGGGATCATGAATTGTAGTTTTCAAATTGTGTTCGTATAGATTGTTTTGTTAGTCACCATAGACCTACGTATACAGTGCTGATACGTATCAGTCAGTTGATGTACGGCACGGTTGCTTCCATTCCCGATCTGTTTCTCTGTAATTGTAAAAGAAAAGCGAAAAATATTGAATTTTGGAACGTCACTTCACTTTTGATTCGATGAATTTGCAGTCAACCATGGAGGTACAATCACTAAGATAAAACCTACAGATTTGATGCGCAGGGTCTTCTAGGGTTTTTGTTTTTCTTTTAGTATGGAGAGCTCGGAGAAAGTGGTTGCTGTTATCATGGTCGGCGGCCCAACCAAAGGTATGAACAAATTTCAAATCTCCGATTCCCTTTCCGGTGATCCGAAAATCTTCTCTTCTGCTTGGCTTGATTTTACTGGTCTGTTTTTCCTTTTTCTTATGTAGGCACTAGATTTCGGCCTCTTTCATTCAATACTCCGAAGCCTCTATTCCCTCTGGCTGGCCAGCCGATGGTTCATCATCCTATCTCTGCATGCAAAGGGGTTAGATTTCAGCTGAATCTTTTTTCTGCTTAGTTTGGATGAGTACTTATGATGAACCTTGAATTCTTGTAGATAACAAATTTAGCACAAATTTTTCTTATTGGATTTTATGAGGAGAGGGACTTCGCTCTTTACGTTTCTTCTTTGTCCAATGAGTTGAGACTGCCTGTGAGGTGACTGCCGATCATCCAATGTAGTCAACTTTAGTTATGGCTTGTGCTTATATGGTTCTGAAATGGTGGAGCTTGTTTGATTGTGTTGGCTTTTTTAGGTACTTGAAGGAGGATAAACCCCATGGCTCAGCTGGGGGTATTTATTACTTCAGAGATATTATCTTGGAAGACAGCCCAGTTTGTAACCTTTGCTCTTTCCTAAGTTTATGTTGTGTTTTATGGAATAGCAAGATCGTATTCTTGTTTCTCAATCTGCATGATATGAACTTTATTGTGCATAAGTTCTTAGCTAAATTATAAATATAGTCCTTAAGTTCTTCCAGACATGCTTAAGTTCTTCAAAAGTTCTCATGTATTGTTTATTGTATGTTTCCCAGTCGTACATCTTTCTACTAAACTGTGATGTTTGCTGCAATTTTCCTCTTCCAGACATGCTTGGTTAGTTTTATGACTTGTAATTTTTTCTAGGAACCAATTTGTTCATCATCTGCTGTTAACCTAAGTGTTCATAGTAAAGTAAGCGGTGTTTTTCTTTTCTTACTTTACAGAGGCACATAAAAGATCGGGTGGGATGGGAACCATATTAGTAAAAAAGGTTGGTGTATGATCTATGGCTTTCAAAAACAAATGATTATGTAGCCAAAATCAAAAACATGTTGTAACATTATATTCATTTTAGTGCACTTTATGTCGGATCTATGCTTTTATTTGGCTTCCTGTACAGGTTTCTGCCGAATCGGCTAATCAGTTTGGTGCACTGGTTGCTGATCCAGTCACAAATGAGCTGTTGCATTACACAGAGAAACCCGAGACTTTTGTATGATGTGGTGCTTTTTTTTTTCTTTTTTTTACTTCAGTTTATCAAACCTAATCTGCTAATCAGTTGTCCAAGTTCTTCGATATCTATGTTTTCAATTACTGTTTTTTCTTTAATTGCAGGTGAGTGATTTGATCAATTGTGGTGTATATGTATTTACCCCGGAAATTTTTGATGCCATCGAAGATGTCTCTGTTCATCGGGAAGGCAGAGGTTAGAGTGTAAATTGATGCTATATTTTGAACTTTACTATAACCATTTGTGATCATGTGCTATATTGACAGCAAATGATGTTTTTGCAAGCATAACTTTTTTTCATAATACTTATAGTTTTTGCAATATTCATTTCAACTCTAAATAGAGTCTGATTTTTCTTTTTTTAATTTTTGCAGCTAATCTACGACGTATCTCCAGCTTTGAAGCTCTACAATCTGCAACAAGGTTAGCTACATTGTCTGTTTTTCTAACTTGAAAATCTCTTAATTTTATTGTAACTTCCCAAGTTCATAGCTAGCAGATACGGCCCTCTTTGGGCTTTCCCTTCCGGGCTTTCTTTCAAGGTTTTAAAACGCATTTGTTAGGCAAAGGTTTCCACACCCTTATAAAGAATGATTCGTTCACCTCTCCAACCAACGTGTGATCTCACATTTATACAACTTGATGAGGCCCTTGTTTCAGGGTTCTTGGAAGAAAGAAACAATAGAATTTTTTGAGGTTCGAGAGGTCTCTGAATGAGGCATGGTTTTGTATTTGGTTCAATGTGTCACTTTGGGTGTCTTTGACTAAGTTTTTTTGCGATTGCCCATTGGGAATTATTTTGTTAGATTGGAGGCCTGTTTTTGTAGGTTACGACTGTATTCCTTCATTCTTTTCTCAACGAAAGTTCGGTTTACTCATTAAAAAAAGAAGAAAAAAACTCCCAGTTTCATACAATGATTTCATACTGAATATGCATAATGCTATATGTTTAGAATATATATATATATATATATATATATTTAATTTGGTTATTTCACTTATCAGTTTCATGTTTAGAAGCAGAAACTCATCAGATTTGAGTACATGAGCCAAACTTCGTATGCTATTTTAAGAATTATTGTTCTCTTGGTCAGTTTTCTTAACACCTCTTGATTCTTAGGTGACCTTTTTTTTCCATTATATCTCTTCCAACAGGAACCTTCCTACGGACTTCATAAGATTAGATCAAGATATTTTGTCACCCCTTGCCGGAAAGAAACGGTTATATACACATCAGACCATGGAATTTTGGGAACAAATCAAGACTCCAGGGTAGAGTAACCACTTCAGCATCTGTGCCTTTTCTCTGTTGTAGTTATACTCGAACTTATGGTATTTCAAAGCCTCGTGCATCTGTATCAACATTGCAGGATGTCTTTGAAGTGTTCGGCCCTTTATCTTGCCCAGTTTCAATTAACCTCTCCCCATCTTTTGGCTACTGGAAATGGTACCAAGAGTGCTAATATCGTTGGCGATGTCTACATTCATCCATCTGCAAAAGTACACCCCACTGCAAAGGTAGTTTTTTTACTTCATTTTTCCTTACAATCAATTAACTTACCTTATTCTGTTTCTTAAGATATTCTCTTTTTTAGAGTTCAATATAGAGTTCCGAAGTTTATTATTATGCCTCTCGTCTGTTTACTTGGTCTTCTTATGTCATCATTGTTCAGTTTTTCCCACAACTCTTGTTTCCGATCTCTAGGTATTACCTAGGCACTCACTTTTCTAGAAGAGTGGGCTTGCCTGGCCCTTTGGTTGAATGTGTAACTGCTCTTCCTACTGAAATAGAGCCGCTGCCCATATGCATGACATGACCTCTTTTGATGTGGAAAACATTCATTTTAAATATTTCATAAACGATGTCATGGGACATGGACTTACGTTAAAAATAAAAACCTTAAATCAATCCCACACAAATATCTAAAATCACCCCCTGCCCATCCCCCCACCCCCCGAGAAATATATAAAATAAAAATTCTCTAATTTCTTGGGTCCTTTAAAATGGTTTGTTTTCTCACCATTTCTTTACAATAGTTTTCATCTTTCGTCATAAAATATTTGAATTCTTGGCCAAATTCTAAAACAAAAACAAGTTTTTAAAAGTTACATTTTTTAGGTTTCAAATTTGGCTGGAATATTGAAGACATCCATAAATGGCTTTTTTACACTACTAGATGTACATGAGAGAAATTACAAAAATGACTCTTTTTATGCATCTAACCATTATGAGAGTGGTAACTACAATTTGGCACCTGCCCTGAATAATTTTTGTCTCTAGCCCTGATTACTCTAAAATGTTTTTCTGAACAGATTGGCCCCAATGTCTCTGTATCTGCTAACGTTCGTGTGGCTGCTGGTGTGAGGCTTATAAGTTGCATCATCTTGGATGATGCCGAAATTATGGTACGGAATTAGCTACCATGAAGACTAGTAATAAGATATGCCTTGCACATTAAATTTAGAAGATCATGTAACTCTCTTTGACAGGAAAATGCTGTTGTTATACATTCTATTATTGGATGGAAATCATCAGTGGGCAAATGGTCTCGTGTCCAGGCAAGTGCAATCATGTTCTTATATTTTAAGTTTACTTCGTGTTCTTTAGATGGTTAATCTAGACCTTGAAGTAGCGCGAGTGTCTTTGAGTTGATGAACCACTCCTTTTCTTCTGTAGCTCGTCTTCGTTTAGTTATTTTTATGTAAGAGCCCAAGCTCATCGCTAGTAAATATTGATATCTTTGGGCTTTTCTTTCCAAGCTTCCCTTCAAAGTTTTTAAAACGCGTCTGATAGGGAGAGGTTTCCACACCCTTATAAAAAATGCTTCGTTCTCTTCCCCAACTGATATGGAATTTCACAATCTACCCTACTTCGGGGCCCAGAGTCTTCGCTAGCATTCGTTCCCTTCTCCAATCGATGTGGGACCCCCTAGTCCACCCCCTTTGGGGTCTAGCGTCCTTGTTGGCACATAGTCTCATGTCCACCCCCCTTTCGGAGCTCAGCCTCTTAGCTGGCACATCGCCCAATGTCTGCCTCTGATTCTATTTGTAACAAGTCCAAGTTCACTGCTAGCATATATTGTATCTTTGGGTTTTCCCTTTCAAGCTTCCCCTCAAGGTTTTTAAAACGTGTCTACCAGGGTGAGATTTCCACACTCTTGTAAAGAATGTTTCGTTCTCCTCCCCAATCTGTGGGATCTCACATTTTCGGACCATGATTTGGGCTTACCAACCTCCTCTTCAACCTAATTGGAGAATCTTTTTGTAATTCTTCTACTCTTTGGGAGAATCTGTGATTTAGGAAATGCTAACAACTTCGTGCGGTTAGCTTCGCTTGAGAGTGCTTTCTATTCTCTTTTAAATATCTTTCCAAAGGAAAGAAAAAACTGGCTGAGATGTTTATGCAATTTAACTGGTTCAGGCAAATGGTGACTTCAATGATAAGCTCGGAATTACGATCCTTGGTACGTATCCTGTACTTGTTTTATTACTTGAGTAAGGGCTGGTGAGAAATTGATGTGGTTAGAACCAACTGAAGAGGGATTTTGGTGTGTTTTTCAGGAGAAGCTGTGATTGTTGAAGACGAAGTTGTGGTGACCAATAGCATAGTACTCCCAAACAAGACCCTCAACCTTAGCGTTGCTGAGGAGATTATTTTATAACACCCCATTCTCTTTCTCTCTCTCTCTCTACTAACAAACTTACACAATTTTCCTTCAAGTTAAATAGTTGATTGGGCGATGTTTTATGTTCCTTGTTTGGATTCTTAGAGGCAGCTCAAATTTCACCTTATACTGAAAATTTCTCCGGGGAAATAGTTGGAAATCTCTGCTGTTCAACTATTTGTCTGGATTCCTCTTTATCTTGTTTTTCATTTGGACTTGCTATCATTGAAAATACAAAAAAAAAAAAAAAAAAATC